ATCTGCAGCGCGACGTCACTTCGATGTGGCTGGAGGCAGCACCTTCCTGGCTCAGCTGTCGGGGCTTCTGGCCTCACACTACTTGCCTGTATGCTGCCGCCTCAGATCCCCCCGCCTCCCCGCCCTGAGCACCGAGCTCAAGACGCCGTAGTCCTGGGCTGGCAGAGAGGGGCTGGGAGTCGGGGGAAGCCCCAGCCCCTCAGATCCTGGCTGTTCTGGTCACCAAGCCGTGGCTCCTGTGCCACCTGCCCCGTAAGCCTCCTGCTCAAGCGACACTCGCCCACGCGGCTCCTTCACGCGCGGGGTGTCCTGCCTCGGCCCCGGACGCCGTGCTGGCTGGCCTGTCTTCCTCAGGAGAGCGGCGGCGTCAGCCCATGCGCATCCTGGGACTCAGCACCGAGCAGGGGCTTGAAAACGGGCACTGGCAGGACGGGCCATCGAGCATGAGGGGCGCCTGAGTGGGTGCCTCCCCTCCCGTCTAAATACACAACGTGAGGAAGCCCACGCTGCTTTCCTGGAGGAACCCTGCTCTCCTCGTGCAGCAGCGAAGCTGGCTCCTGTTCCTTGAGGCCTGCAGAGAGGACCCGCAAGGATTGCGTGGGCTCCTGCTGGGTCCCCTTGTCACTGTCCTCTGTGCCTTCTCTCGGCCACACCACCCCGTGGCTGCGTGAACAGCTTCCAGGGAAGTTCCTTCCGAGAACTTACGCAGAAAGGCGCAGCTGGAGGCGAATCCCGGGGAGCGGGAAGAACGGGGCTGGCCTCCAGGGCGGCTGCCGGGACGCGGGCGGGCGGCTCGAGGGCTGGAGACGAAGGCTCGCAGCGTCTGAGATGCAGAGGAGCGGCAGCGGCGTGACCCCCGTCCGGGCCGCTTGCGGCCCCCAGCAGTCGGTTCAGAACGTGACTGAGAATCGAGACCAAGACGCCAAGAAAACCACAGCCTCCAGCTTTTCAAACAGCTAAAAATGAATATTTAAAAAGAAATTAAGTGGAGATTCCAGTCTGTACAAGTGTTCACATTTCAGACAGCCTTGAATTCAAGTTTTTGGTGAGACCCGATGTTACAGCACATTTCAACCCCTGGTCCAGAAATGTCACCACCGCTGGGGAATTCTCTTTCATCTCCAGTTAGAGCAGGTCTGCCTCGGACTTACCTGATTTTTTTCCTGCCAAATTGCCCCCGATACACAAGGAAAACCCATTGGGCCCCTCTCGGTGGCCACCGGAAGCGGCCCAGGCCAAGTCCCATCGAACCCAAGGCGCTCAGTTACTCGCAGGAGAGCACGTCTTTTGTTGCACTTTCTTGGGGTGCAGTCAGGTGGGGGCAGCCGCCTGCTCACCGGGACTCGGAGCCTCATCCCTCGGAGGTCGTGCCCCCGGCTTCGAGGGTGTCCCCTCCCACTAGTACCCACAAGGCCCTTAGTTGTCGGAACGTCAAGCCTTCCTTGAAAGGAGTTTGCCACAGCACGAGAAACCGCAGGACTTGCAGGTAGCAGAAAACAAAGAAAAGCGCGAGAGGCCCTGTAGAACTGGCGTCCAGGCCTCAGTTCTGCCACTGGGCAAACCCTTATGTTTCCCTGTTTCCAAACAAATTCTGCTTTGGTTTTTGAGACCTCAGGCAGCCCCTCGTGCCTTCTTTCTCTCTCCACCTCCCTGCCCTCCCCTCCCAGGCCTGGGGCCTCCCTGCAAACTGTTACCCGCCACTCTCCGGTTTCCTCCTGCAGACCGGTCTACTGTCGATATTGCTGGGTCTGACTCCTGTCCTTCCCCCCTGGACGTCAGCACGAGCTGAGACCTGGAGCGCCAGCCAGGCCTCCCTCCCCGCAGGTGCGAGCTCAGCAGAGAGGACACGCGCGGCGCGGAACTCGGCCTGGGACCGGCTGCCTTACGCGCCGGCCCGACCGCGCGGCCGCGCTGGGCGGGCTGACAGCGCCACCTGGTGGCCTCCTGGAGAGCGGCGCGCGGGCCTGCCGCGTGCGGGCGTCGGTCCCTTTCTGGGGACCCAGCCAGCGCCGCCCAGTGCACAGGCCTCGCAGGGCGCCGCCCAGCGGGGTCCCGGAGCTGCGGTGGTGCAGGTCGCCTTGGGGCTGCCGGGCGCGCTGTGGGGGTCGGGGGCTGCACCGGCCGGTCCAGCTCTGGGCAGCCGTCCCCTCGCCACGTGCTTTCCTGCATGCAGGTCTCTCCCGCTGTAGAAAAAAGTTTTCAAAGGGGACAGGCTCCCAGGAGCCACTAAGACCAGCGTGAAGGACACGGGCAGGTGCCGGGGGCGCCCCTCAGAACAGAGATGGGACTGTGGCTGGGGCGGCCAGGGCTCCGTCTTTGTGGGACGAGGCCAGTCACAGCCTCCACAGTGCACAGCACAGGCCACGGGGCCTCCTGTCTGGGAAACGTCACCCCAAGGTGTTGGCAGACACCCCCTCAGGCCTGTCCTGGTGGGAGACATCCAACCAGCACCACCCAAGGATGAGGTCGCGGCTCCCCCGGGCTCCTGGCCTTCTGGCCCCCCCAGCCCCCGCCCCCAGCCCTGCCAGTCCAAGGACAGGGGGGCACCTGCTCCGGGAGTGCCTTCCTGTGCCTTGGAGGGGCCCTGTGGCTGGCGGGGGTGGGGGGAGGCGGTGCGGCAGGGCTGGGTCTCCGGCTCTGCGGACCCCCTGGCTTCTCCCCGCTGCAGGTGACTGGGGTGATCCTCTTGAAGGTGGCAGGTCTAGAGGAGCTGACGTGGCCCCAGCTCACAAGTTCATGTCCCTACATTCCCCACGTCACACCCTGTCCCTGCCCAGCCGCTGGCTCTGTGTGGACCAGCTCCTCGTAACTGTGAAACGTTAAACCCTGTAATTAACCACGAACACGTCTCCCAGGGCCTGTTCCTGACTGGAACCGTCGCAGAGACGCGGAGACAGCTTCCAAGTACACGCGCGCGCGTGTGTGTGAGGTTTTTCAGAGCACAGGCTTCCTCGTCCCAGCCCCCGGACAGGTTTGTCTGCGGCAGGCCCAGGACTCGGTCTACGGCAAGCGCCCTGTGCGGCTCTGATACCGGGACCATCAGCAGACGGCATGGTCCCCTCGGATGACAGGCTCGCAAAGTCATCTCAAAGGCCGAGCTCTCGGCTTGCAAACTGGAGCGGGAGATGCAGAGGCCAAGTGGCCGCTGCAGGTCAGAGGCTCGGCGGGGCCAGCGCGGCCCCTGGGCAGCCAAGGAGCTGTTTCCGCTGAAGACAGGCGTGCACGCAGCGTCCCGGTTCACGCGCGAGTCTGGACACGGCCAGCACCTCCAAGAGGGAGTGTGTCCTGCGGCCATTTCTCAGATTATCAGATTAGTTCGAGGCCTTTACTCTGCGTAGTGAGCAGGCACCTAACTCTGGACGGAGTGGCAGCTTTCTAACCAGAATCGAGGGCTGGCTGTCGAAGTGGGTTGTCTCTCCAATCTGTCCAAGTGCTAAAAAGCTGCCTTTTCCAGTGAGGAATTATGGCAGAATCGTCTAGAAAAGCTGCCCAAGGAGCCGGAATCAGAGCTGGTGGTGGGACCCACAGTCCAGCCTCCTTCGGACACCAGCCCTCAGATGAGACCGCCCTCACGGTCTAGGGGAAAACTAAGTTAAATAACGTGTCGCTCAAACTGGGAAAAGACATCAATTTGGAGAACTTCCCTAAAAACCTCGAGGTGAGGACCTCACAGAAAATTCCAGACACACACGTCTGTATCACTTTAAATAATGAAAAACGGAACCCCCAATTCACCGAGAAAGCCTTTGAAAGAGATGAAGTATTCCCAGTTGATGTAACTGCCATGGTTGATTTTGTGTCAGCCTGACTGGGCCACAGGGCATCCGGGTGCCTGGCCAAGTATTACTCCGGGGAGCCCACGGGGGCTCGCGGGGGAGCATGCACACCGGCTGCCGAGCAGACCGGCCGCCCTCCCCGGGGTGAGCGGCCTCACCCCACCTCCAGGGCAGCGGGGGCCCCAGGGCCCGACACCACAGCTGCCCCGGCTCCTGGTCGTCCGACCCCCCGGAGCCCCTCCCCCAGCCCCCTGGCCTCAGGCTCGCGACCTCGCGTCGGTTCCCCTCCAGAAGCCTGTCTGTCCCACCGGCCGTGTCTCTCTGGCTCGGCACCTGGTCTGTGCTCCCACCCACGGCCTCACAGGAGCAACGTGGGGGCCTTGCCACCGAGTCCCGTGTCTGAGGTTGAGGACCCCACGGACGTTTGCAGGACAAATCCTACAACACGCATCCACTCGGGATGTTTCTAATTTTACTTCGTTCCTACGAGATGAACAGTAAGCTGTCAGGCCACGAAGCAAATCATAACCCCTAGGTCATGCTGTGGGGTCGACTTGCTCGACACCAAGGGAACTAGTCCGACACTGTCCGTAGCGGAGCTGACCTGCGTGTAATGGGTCTAAAAGGGCCGCCTTAGCGCTACCCACACACTTAGGTCTCGACGTTACCGTCCCTAAACTGGGGAAACGCCCAGGTTTCTGGCAAAAGGCCACTGAAAAGGCTCTCTTGCTTTTAACATTGTCTTCCATTTTTGTGATTTGAAGATTTAGCTCCAAAACAGCCACTACACCTTTTTAAGTATTTTATTTCTAGAGAGGGGAAGGGAGAGAGAACACCGATCTGTTTTTTCTCACACAGCCCTGACCAGGCCTGTGCCCTGACCAGGAACCGACCCGGCGACCTTTGTTTGCAGGGCGACGCCCACCCCACTGAGCCGCCTGGGTCAGGGCAAACCCTAAGTTGTTTTATTTATATCCACGGATGTCCTAATACAACCAAGACGGGTTAAAGACTAGATCTGAAGGTGTAAGTGCCCTCTTCGTAGATGGGCTACCGGCACTGATGGAAAAGTCAGCTTTTCCAGGTAAATTTCTTGCTCAAAAATGAAGGAAAAGCTGATAAGATGTGTTTGTTTTTTAAACTTTAAAATGCAAGAATAGCTCTGGAAAGCAGAAAGAAAGGTGCAGGGAAGAGGAGGAAAATGAATGGAAGGAGACATTCAACTTCCTGGATCTGTCCTGCTGAGAAGACGAGTCGTAACAAAACGGGCACTTTATTATCATTTCTAACGAGATGCGCCAGCGTGGACATCAGTCCTTCCTCAGGGAGATGCTCTCCTCCCGGATGCCGTCCTTGGTCACGATGCAGATCTTGAGCATGTCCCCGGTATACACGTCCCTCTCGGCCGCAGAGATGAAGACATCCTTCACGAGCCGCATAGCTCTGTCCAGAGACAGCGGCACGTGCTCCACATTCTGCATGTTCTTAAAGCCAACCTGGGGGAGACAGGAACCTTGGATGAAGCCTCGCGGGACAGCACAAAGCAGGCCAAGCCCCCCGAGCCTCCAGACATGTGAGAATTCAGAACAAGCCCAACGTCCCACAACAAGGGCTTGTGGAGGCGGAGCTCGGGCCGAGAAGGCGCGCCGTGGGCGGGCGGGGCGTCGCCCCAGAGTCTGCGTGGCTGCGGAGTGGGGGCCGGGGGCCCACGGGCCGTGGCCAGACCCACTCAAGGACAAGCGCGTGAGGGGTGGGGCGGGGGCCCGGGGCCTGCGGCGGGAGGGCGGCGAGAGAGGTGGCAGGTGTGCACCACGCAGAGCGGTGCCGCCTGCGCCCCAATCCCAAGCAGCGCGGAGGACGCCCAGGCGCGAGCCCGGGGACGGGGGGCCAAGAGGGAACGAACACAGCCGCCCCGGCCGGGCACCGCACAGGCCCGGCGCAGCCGCAGGGATGGCAAAGGGTTAAAACGCACATGGAGGTTGGACTATGAACTGAGGTGACACAGAAATGGTATCGGGAGACAGGTGTGGTCACGAAACCAGGGCGCAGCGGGGAAGGGCACTGGGACCCGCGGTCGGGCCGGGGCCCGAGGCCCCAAGAGGCCAGGGGGTCAGGGCGGGCACGCCCGCCACGCACAGCCCAGCGACGTCCCCAGCCTCCCCCGCCGACAGAGGGGGGCCCGCGGGAGTGCGTGGGGCGTCCCCGCCCCGGGGCCGGGGCCTCACCTGGTTGTCGAGCAGGGGCTGCAGCATGGCGCTCGCTGACCCTCCGGCCTTGAAGGAGTCTCTCTGGTAGGACCCAACCGGGTCGAAGCTGTACACGGCTCCCTTCCCTTGGAGGGGAGACAGTTTCCGTGAGGCCGCGTCCCGACCCCGACCCCGACCCCACATCCTGGCGCCGTCCGTCCGGTCAGTGACACTGGACGCGCTGTCGACCCTCAGGACGTCAGCCTGCCCCGCAGAGCCCACCTGCAACTCCCTCCCACTGTGGACGGGCCTCACAGGGACACTGGTTAATGGTCACAAAACCCCTCCCAAGCGCCCCCAGTAAAAGCGCGAGTGCACTCCAGGCACAGACTCGAGTTTCTCTCGTGCTCAGAGAAACGTTCAAATCAGACCCAAGTCAGAAAGGCACCGGATGTGCTGTGCTGGGTTGGGAGGCCCCTCTGTGGCTGAATGTAAGGACCAGGGTCCAGGGTGACCGACTGCTATTTACCACTTCCCTTTCGTACTTCCCCCCTCAGTTTTCCCGGGAGGCTGAAAGCCTGGGAAGGCACTGCGCACGTGAGCCGCAGCAGGCGCAGGAGCGGGCGGCTCCCAAGCCCACGTGTGCGGGGAGCAGCTGCGGGAAGCAGCTGCGGGAGCGGGCAGCAGAGAGGAAGCCTGGGAGACAGCAGGGGGCGCCCGCCAGGAGCAGGGGGCGGGGGAGGCTGAGGGCGCCTGGCCTCCCGCCGCCCAGCACGGCCCCCGCGGAAGTCGGTCTCCTTCCAGGGTCTCCTCACCCAGCCCCTTCACAAGGGACCGTGAGAATCGGTGGCACGGGCCTGTCCCCGCAGGGCTGCCTCTGGTTCCCGGAGGTGACCAAAGCCAACACCCACCAGACCCGGGAAGAAGCACCACATCGGCACGCGTAACAAACGCAGATGGCAATGTCCTGGTCGGACTCAGCCAGAGAACCGGGGAATTTCAAGAACGTTTCGAGGACGCTGGTGGAAACGCACGCGTTCCTTCTAAGATATATATCACTGTCTGATAACTTTGGATGTCATGTAGGTTTGTTAATGAACTGTCATGATCAGGCTAAGCTTTTCCAGGTCAGGTTTGCTTTCGTAACATCAAAGCGTTAACTCCCCACTTCTGAACTCGCTATGGTCCTGAAAAAAGAGCGGAAGGACTGGCTGCACCTCACCCACCACTGGGGCTCCGACACCCGCCTGCTGCCTCCAGGTGGCCACACGCTGCCCGTGGCTGCGGCCCCCTCGCTGCGCTACTGGTCGGGAAACAAGGAGGGCGGGCCGAGGGCTCCGTGGCTCGGCTCCACCCTGGACGACGCGCTTGGAGGTACTGCCGGCCCCTTGTCTTCCCCAGAGCGCACCCTACCTTCCTCGTCGAGCCCCCCGATGATGTTGTACACGTAGTATGGGAAGAAGCGCCGGGAGTAGAGGATGGTAGACAGCATCGCAGCGATGGCGCCCGTGGTCATGGCCTTGTTGTTGGAATGCTTGTACATCTGCCGGGTCAGCAGGAAGAGGTGTGAGCGGCAGGGCGCGCCCCCAGCTACAGCGACGGACGCCCGCCTCCTTCACGGTCCGGCCCCATGGCATCACCAAGGCGGAGCAGCATGCGTGGCGCCCGTCACTTCGGGGTCTGTAAGGGTTCTAGGTGGGAGAACGCTGACCCTGGCCCTCCCGCACCCGGCTGCTGACTGTTACTCCCACGTCATCCTGACCCCAGCGCATGGGCGCCAGTTCAGGAGGAGGCGTGCGCGCGGGGCGGGGGTGGCGCACCCATAGCCCACGCGCGCCCTGACCGCCGTCGGCCAGCGGCAGCCTCGGCCCATCCGGCCGGCACCACCTGGGCCTCTCCATCGGGTCTGACGGGACCAGGGCCTTCCACTCGCCGTGCACGGGCTCTGCCTGCTTCAGACAGACAGCCCAGCCCCCTCTGGACACGAGAGGCAAACTCGCGCACTGAGCAGAGCCCACAAACCCAGCCAGACAGCACCCCAGCCCTGCCGGTCCCGGGCAGCCACGGTGTCAGAACCCTGCACACGGCCGGTCCGTCTCCGGCCCCTTCTTCCTGACGCCACCCCCCCCCCCACCAACCCAGCCCGCGGGCCACCTGCCAGCCAAAGCCTATGCCGCTGGGAGGTAACAATGGCCTAGGTCGTGCCCGGCCAGCCCCTTCCGATCCCTGGGCACATCCTGTCTGTTGGGGCAGGTCAGCGGACAGTGTCCCCAACCAGGCTCCTGTTGAAAGCTAGTCTCCTCCCAGAAATCGACCTGCTTTGTTTCTCAGGGGAGAGGCGCTGCAGAAGAGCCCCTTCCCGCGGAACCCCTGCTAGTGGAGACCGGCCGGCGGGGCTGCTGAGGGTTCTGTCCCGTCTGTGCCCTGGGCTCGCCCGGTGCTTCTCCAGTTACGCGGGGCGGCAGCCGGGCTGTGAGCTCGAGGGGCTCCCCGGGGACCAGCTTTCAGAGTCAGCGTCAGGCGCGTGAGAAGCACCTACCTTTAGTCGCGCTTCTATAATCTTCGTCAGCGTCAGGCAGTCTCCATGGAAACCACTGCAGCCAATGACTGTTTTCTCTGTCCTGTGAAAAGCATGTTTCGGGAAACTCAGCTGGTTAGACAGCCCAGCAGAACACGTGCTGAGCAGTTTTAAATGTACGACTCCTGTTGCTACCATTCACTGAGTGCTGATGGGATGAGGTCGCCCCCCTTTTTTTGGGGGGGGGGCTATGTCTGTAACCTGATGTCTAACTTCCAACACCGGATAAATTTTAGATGAACTAAAGGTCTAAAGAAATGAACCTATGAACAGACTACAGAAAACAAGGATGATTTTTTAAGAAAGCGACCCACGGCTGCGGGCAGCTGTGGTAAGCTTGCTACAGCCGAAGTCCACACTGAAAAGGTCCACGTAGTTGGCTCCATAAAAAATACAACTGCTATAGAGAAAAAGACAAAGTTTAAAAGAAAAAACTAAGAAAATACACCTGCAGCCCACTAGGCCATGTAACCCTCACGGCCCAGCCTGCAACCGGCTCGCACGCGGGGCCGCCCCGCCCTGCGCGTGGGAAGGGCGCTGGGGAGCCCTCGGGTCCTCCCCCTGAAAAAGGGCTCAAGCAGCTACGCGCGCTGGCAGGTGCGCACAGGGCGCACGGGGATCGCTTTGCGACGGACACAAACGGGGATCGCGGCGCCGTGCCCCGGAAACGAAGCTGCGCGGAGGACGTGAAGGCCACGGTAAAGGAAACACAACCACCAGAAACACAAGAGAAGAGCCCTCACGTCACCCAGAAATGCACGTCTGAGCAAGACGCGGTTTCCGCCCGACACGCTGGCGGGCGACGCCTGCCGCTGCGGCCCGTGGAGAGCGGCCCCTCGGCACTGGGGCCGGGGACGCGCGGACCTCGCCTCCGAGAGGGGCCCCCCCGCAGCGTCTCCAAGAGCTCAAACGCACGTCCCCGTCACTCCGGGGCTCTGGGTGAGGGTGGGCGCACGGGGCCTCCTCCACCGACTGCCCGCACCTCCTCAGTCCCTTCTGCCACCGTGCAGGCGCCACAGGCTCCTGGGACCAACCGGGGCATTAACTGCCGTTTATAACTGTTTCCAAAAATGTTAAATACAAACCACTGCCAACCTGCCAGCTGCGCTTAGGTGACTTAAACCAAGTTTTCTTTCTGTACATGACTTTATTTTTGTATTTTAGAAAAAAACATAGCTAGGCCATCAAAACTGTGAGCCTCGAGTGTGACTGCTTAGGACATGGCTAAATGTTTCAGGTTAAAAAGAAACCAAGCAGATTTAAAACACATTTAATGGATTAATGAATGGACAGAACAGAAAGATATGGCAAAGTGATTACGTAAAATGCTAATAAGACCTTGGTGGCAATATATGAGTGCTCATCACCGAATTTTATTTTTGTTGCGTATTTGAAATTGTTCAGGACAAAATGGCTCAGTGGATTGAGCGCCAGCCTGTGAACTAAGGGACAAAATGCTGAGATAATACTAGTAAGGCTATCGCAAGCACCGCTGGAACCCAGATCCGGCAAATACCAGGAAGATGGTGCACTGAGATGCTAGGAAACATTAACTTTGAAAATTGTTTCCTAACAAAAACGCAAACTAAGCTCCAAACAATCTAAACATTCATGAAAATACATAGTTTAGAAGTTAAATCTCTTGTAGCATTAAATTATCACAAGGCCTTAGAAACATTTACTTACAATTTGTAACATTTGGGACTGTCCCGGCTGTGGATTGAAAAGCCTTCACTCAATCGAGTGTCAGAAGCAACAATTGAAAAATCTTCTCCAGCAATTGCCAGTATCGTCCTGAGGAGAAAAGACAAGGAAGATCAACGAACTCCTGCAGACGGCAAACAGGCCCGTCCCCGCGGGAAAGTGCGGCCCCTCCGCCCCACGCACGGCAGGCGACGTTTACCCTCTGCTGTCCTAAGCGCGCAACACGCTACATGGGTAAAAAGGTGCATACGTTAATGAAAAAGCACGTTGTTGATGAAAATGCCAACCGTCACCCGAGCCTGTGGGGAAAACGGCACCCACTGACTCACTCCACGCTGGGCACCACTGACATGCAGTTTGTGGAAGAAGAGAAGCAGCGCCATGGCACGGCGAGGCCCGCGCCATGGGAGCGGGGCCACGGGGCATCTGGAAAGCCATCAAGAACTCCCTAAACACGCCGGCCTGCAGCACAGAAAGGTTCCCTGGCAGCGGGAGCAGAGGAGCCACTGAATCACCACCATCATCAGAAAGTTAAATATGGGCTTGGCTGGTGCGGCTCCGTGGACTGAGCGCCGGCCTGAGAACGAAAGGGTCGCCGGTTCAATTCCCAGTCAGGGCACAGAACTGGGGTGCAGGCCGGGTCCCCCAGGGGGGTCACGTGAGAGGCAACCACACACGGATGTTCCTCTCCCTGTCTTTCTCCCTTCCTTCCCCTAAGAATAAACAAAGTCTCTTTAAAAAGTTAGACGCCCACTTGTGTGAGGCACTGATCCTACATAACAGACACGGCCAAGCGCAAGGCTGCAAGGTGAGCTGAAAAGTAACCAGCCAGAGGCTTTGCTTTGTGGCTGGCAATCCCCACCCTGGGGGTGTTCCCTGAGGAGGCCTCACGCGGAGGCCACAGCAGACTGGGCGCCGCCCCTCCCGACTCTTCCCCTGTGCAGGTTTGAGACGCTTGGCTTCCCCGGGACCCCGTGCCCTCACGCGCCAGCGTTCAACCCTCGGGGGTGCCAGGGGTTGAACGGTCAGTGCGTACGACGCCCCCTGGCGGGCGCTAGGGTCCCCCCCACAGTCACAGGTGTGGGGCGGCGCTGCGCCTTCCCTGAGCGCCGGGACCTGTGGCTCGGAGGGCGGGCCTGGCCCCTTACAGAGCCCCCCGGGGGCGCACAGGCCACCCCAGTGCGAGTGTCGGTGCCACCGCGTTGACGACGAGAGTCCCGGGACGTTGCTCCCATGGCGCCCAGGACGCGCTCAGAGAACGCCAGCCGTTGCTCCCACGGAGGCCGGAGGCGCACGAGGCTCCGAGGCCCCAGCAGGCAGCATCGCTGGCAGCGCGGGGGCGGGAGAGAGGGAACGGGTAGCAGTTCAAAGAAACACCCCGACAGCTTGTTCAGGCGTCTCCTGGCGAACACGCCAGCTCAGGGGTGCACCGCTGGTGTGATGCACAGGGACCGGCTGTGAAAAATCCCACGTGCCAAACAAGGTTTTAGCCGTTCAGTGAGAAACCACAGAGGCGACGTGCGCAAGACAGAGCAGAGCCCTGCTTGCAAGCGGAGGTTTAAGGAAGGTCCCGTGGCAACGACACCCTCGGCAACGGGATGGGCCACTTCCAGGGAGGCCGATGCGACAGGAGGGCGGCGGCCGGAACAGGGAACGTGGGCAAACCCAGAAACACTGCCTCAGGGCGCGCACGTCTCCGTAACCACCGAAACGGGCTGGAAGCTGGAAGAGCCCATCCTGGAACCCCGGGTTTCAGGCAGGGCTGGCCGCAGGGTGGCCGACCGCGAGGAGCGTGGAGGAGGTGACTGAGGGCTTGCTCTTTGTCGTCAGACCTGAGCTACGGTGAGAGCAGAACACCCCGGTGGAAACGCTTCACCCCAGAACCAGAGCGGCACGTCCCCGGGAAGCGAAACTGGAGCAGCAGACTGGGGGCCTGTGTGTCCGGGAATGGACACGTGACCAACACAGGAGCCAATGGCTTGCGGGAGTTCAAACCCATTTTAAGAGCTAAAGTGTTAAAAGATACAGAATGAGAAGCGAAGGCTGCCAAGAGCCAGCAGCAACAATTACTGCGGAAAAAGAACAAAGATGAGAGGATATAATTTAGAAATCAGAAAGCCCTAGGTACCTAACTTTTAGGGCCATAACAGCTTAAACTGGATTATAAGGGATTAAAAAGCGAGTACTGAGTCTGGAGGACTCAACACTGAACACTGTAAAGACGTCACAACTGCCTTGTGGAATGGGGACGATAACCCGTCTTACCAAGCGGCTAGTGGAGGTGGAAGCGTCGCCTCGGGGCCCGGAGCTGAGGATCCGAGTCTAGGCCCGACGTTACCCCAGCGCTGGGCCCGGAGCCCCAGGTTCTCTATCTAACACTCAGGGGTCATGGAAAATAGAAAAGGTAACTTCTTGCCATTTACAAAGTGCTCCACTCTCCCCAATTCCAAGGAGCTAAGGGAGAACAGGGTATTTGTGTTCGAAACGTTGGCCCTTTAGCAGCCGAGCAGAGGCTGAAACTGTACCCCCCTCCCTCCCAACACTTCCAAAATCGGCATCGGTATTTGAAGCCCACAGTGACGCAACGACCTGGTCATTGTGCTTGAGCCGGGCATGGATGCTGCCAGTACAGACCGGTCGCTAACGGTGGCCACTGCCCCACTTACAGCTGCTCCGAGTCCTACTGGGCTGGCAAAAAGTCCATTACGTTTTCCCTGACGACGGCTCTAGTCGTGCTTAGTTGTCTTTAACTTCATTTGAACCAATGCTGTTAGACTGTCTTGTGACAGCTGTCATCTCAGTGTGCATTAAAAAAAAAAATCGAAATTGGTGAATTTTTGCGCATCCATTTTAAATTGAAGATGGAAGAAAACATGTAATATTTCCAGTGCATTATGTTTTATTATTCCAAGAAAGGTAAAAACGCAACTGAAATGCAAAAAAAGGTTTGTGCTGTGACTGATCAAACATGTCAAAAGTGGTTTGCAAAGTTTCTTGGTACTGTTGACATTTTGGCCAAATAATCCTTTGCTGTGGGGCCGATTCAGGCTTTGGAAGGTGTTTAGCAGCAGCCTGGGCTCTACCCACTGGAAGCCGATGGCGGGAGACAGCCTCGTCCTCAAAGTGTCCAGATCAATGGAATTATTAGTGAAAATGAAAAACGTGTGAAAAACTAAACGGACTTTTTGGTCAACACAATAAATAAAGCATCTTCCTACTGATGGGGGACTCAAATGTTAGGGACTCAAATGTTGGAAAAATTTTACTTCAGTAACAGCTAATAAGCTTAGAAATCAATGTTTATAAAAAGCTGTCGTTCCAGGCACTGGAAGTCTGACCCACCGCGACTCCAGGAGACCAGAGGCAGCCCCGCCTTCGTGCCCGGGGAGGACGGCAGGGGATCGCGGTGGGATCAGAGCCACCGCCCGGGCGCAGAGGACAGAGCGCTGCAGCTTTTAATTTGATGATCTTTCCCCCGCATTCCAAACCCCTTACCTACACCTTTATTTTCCTTATAGGACGGGTCAGTTTAAAAAGGAATTTAAGGCCGTCTGTGAGGGTACAAACCCGCGTCTTCTCAGATCGCTGACCATTTGAAGGAAGCGCCATGAAGATTCAATCCCGCCTCCGCTTGTCGGTCCGGTGGTGACAGGCAGCGCCACCGCCGAACTTCTCCCGTTTCATTATAACCCCAATTCTTTCAGTGGATGTCAAGGAAAAGCACCACTTACGTTACAGCTGGTGTTTTTAATAAAAGAACTTGGCTGTAATAGGCAAGAATAACATTTCTAAAGGCCCTCTTCTGAGTAGTCTTTCCCCTGAACTTAGGCTAAACTAATCCTACCTTCCACCTAAAATAACAAAAACGACCGCCTGATTAGCCCTTTTAGCTGCAAACACCAGCGCGCACCTAACAACGGGGACCGGCCCGCCCTCCCTCTCACTGCCCCCGGGAACCTGCCCTCGCCGCGGCCAGGCCCCTCCGGGAGACGCTTCCGCAGCGGAGGCCGCGCTTCCGCGCCCCCCGGCGGCCTCGCCGCACGCCTGGCCGTCCACGCCGCGACGCCAGCGCCCCGCCGGTAAGGCGTCGCCGGAGACGGCGGCGGATCGAGCCTCCCGCGGGGACGGAGGCCGCCGGGACCCCTGCGGGCGTGGGAAGGGACGGGAGCGGCGGCCGGGGCCTCACCCTCCGTTGAAAGCGTAGGGCGAGAAGCGCAGCTGCACGGGGCCGGCGCTGTGCGGCTCCATCACCGGGTTTCGGCCGGGGCCCCAAGATACGGCTGCGCAGGACGACATAGCCGGCACCGCTCCTGCTGTCTCACGGCGAGATGGCGGCCCGGCCGGAAGTCGGAAGTCCCTCCACGCTCGGCGGCCCGGCGGCGCTCCCTCCCGTCGCTCCGGCGCGCCCCCAGGCCCGGCTCCCGGAGGTCCGCGTCGCCGCCGGGACCCCTACTCCAAAGCGGACGGGGATGTCAGGGTTTTCTTTCTTAGGAAAACACCCTAATTCACTCTTAATGGGAAAAATTCTCAAGTCTGACCATACAAAAAGTTGGCAACACTATGGAGCAAGGGAAAGTCGAATCGTCTATCGGAGTGTGAGTTGGCGCCGTATTTGGAAAGGGAGCGGGCATCACTTGGCCTCGTTGAACAGGTGCCCACCCGAGTGCTCAGCAGAAGATTCTCAGGTGTGCACTCCACCAGGAGGCATGGCCGAGCAAGTGTACATACATTGGTTCCGCATAGCCCTAATCTGGAAGTGAGCGAATGCCGGTAAACTCGGGGATACGTCACAGCGAGGAACCCAGCCGACGCCCGGTGCGGATGAGGCTTAGCTCGGAACCTACAACGTAACTCAGGAGGAAGGAGAGAGTGAGTAGGAAGGGCCGGCAACACTCGGTCTCTCGATTTATAACCTGTACATGTGTGTACTCACTTCCTTATAGGAATATCATATCCTGCAATTTTTAAAAAAGCTATTATTAAAACTAAGACACGCAGGCGGAGACGCAGGTGACTTGCCAAAGGTCGCAGAGATTGTCGGCTTAGACGTCAAAATCTCGCCTGCTTCTATCAGCGACCAATCAGAAAACGCTGACCAGGCGACCCCGCCCCGGAACTCCGGAATAGCTCCGTCCCGCCCTGCGTGCCCCTCCGCCGACTGCCCGAGGCAGCACAGGAAGTGACGGAACGCCCGCACTCTCCATGGTCGCCGCCGCAGCCCGAGCCGCCCGCTGAAGCCGAGCGCGGCCCTGGCGGAAGTGACACTGTAAACGCGCGCCAGGAGTTCAAGAGGGGTCGCGAAGGGTCGCCGTGGCGGGCGCCTGGGTTGCCTGCCGTTTGACTGGGTTTTCGCGGGTGGGTCCCGCTGCCGGCCGCGGCTCCAGGTAACTGCCGCTGCGGCTTCCTCTCTTCCCTGAGGCTGGTGGGGGGAGGCCGGCGGCGCGCAGGCCGCGCGGGAACGCTCCCCGCCGTCCCGGCCGCCCCGCCCGGCCTCCTTGCGGCTGGAAGCGGGTCCCGCCGGGCGGGCGAGGGGCCGCGGGGGCCGGGCCGCGCGCCCGAGGCCGGGGCCCCGTCCTGCCGCTGTCTGCTTCTCGGCGCTCCTGTGTGCGCAGCGCTGCTCTGGCTTGAGGGCAACCATGTCCCCAAGGAACTTTCCGCCCCTCCCCGGAGCGGCGCTCTCGTTCGTAGCTTTGGCCGGTATTTCAGGCGCGGGCGCTGGGATGCGTCGCCTCGGTGGCCCTTCGTCCTCCGGACGAGGTCGGCTGCCCTCGTCGTTGAGGAGACGCCCGCGGCAGCTCACGCTGCGAGCGCGTGTGGGTCTCGTCTTTAACTGCTGACCCAGACCCGCGGGGGCGAGGGAGAGCGGCCCGCCGGAGGCCAGTGTTTACACGGGAGTCGGGCGCGAGTGGCGCGCTGCGGCGTCGTGTGACAGCCGAGTCCCGAGCACTGTGTGTCCGTCGCCTCGGCGGCCGGTTCCCACGGCATTGCCGCTGGCCCGGCTGCGCGGCACCGGGGGCTTCGGGCAGAGCTAGCTGCCCGGCGCGCGCTGCGGGCGCCTCTTGGCGGTGGCGCTGCTCCGGGAATGAAGCCGCGGGGTCCGCTCTCACGGCGTGTTATCGAACAGCAGCTCAATGAGCGGTCCCAGCGGAGCGCGCTTAGCGTGGCCGGGCCGAACCGGTTCGCCTGCGGCAGAGCCCGAGGTTGGCCGAGCAGCGCTGCGTAGACTGAGCTTTGTAAGCGTTTCTGCTCAAGCGCGAAGTTTGCTTGGGAATTTGTTTTCTTTGGGTAACTTTCCCCCCCAGTTTTCGAGGCTGGTTATGACAGCCTCATTTTCAACATTATGAGTATTTAAGTGGGACGAGGGAATAAACAGCCACGTCCTGTCGGCTGTGTTGCGAGGAGTCGCGGGAAACGTGGAGGGAAAGCGATTCCAGCCGTTCGGATAATGGGGAGCGTGTTCCGCAGCAGCGTTGTGTTGGGGTTCGGGGGGGGCGGGGGGAGGCGTGTGTGTGTAAACGTGACTCCGGTTTACCGTATTGTGGAGCTGATCTGTATTCTCACATGGACTTCAAACTTTTCAGAGCAGCGTCCCTGTCCTGCTGAGCGGAAGCCCCCAGAGCCGAGGTCGCGGCCCGCCGCCGGGCGGGGGATGGTCCGCGGGACGAGCGGGCGCTGAGGAGACTCCAGGCGGCGTGCGAGCGGCGGGAAGGCGGCGGCCATGGACCAGAACAGCAGCCTGCCGCCCTACGCCCAGGGCCTGGCCTCCCCGCAGGTAGCGAGCGCCGGCCTTGCACACGGATTGGTGTTTTTTAAAGCCTCCAGCGATACATTGAGAAGGTCTTACAGGCTTTGAATAGGCATAATAGTGGTTAATTCGGGGAGTTTACTTGGAGGCTAAAATACGTATTTGTCTGTAAGAACTTTCTGACAAACACGGTGCTGTTCCAAGTAATTATAGAGTCTTTGATTTTGAAAGTGACTCGCCAATTATTTTCTAGTTTCATCTTTTCCTTTTTATGTTTAAGGTTCCAAGGAACTCCTTTACTTTCTAAAGTGTTCAGTAGCCTCTGTTGAGGTGTAACTTACCAAGAATAAAAACACCTACCCTGAGTGTATGTTTTGATCGTTTTATCCCCCTGCATATACTTAGGAATTAGCGCTTCTGTGTTTTCTACGTGACTCTCGTCATGTTGGACTCTGTGGGTGGATCTCTCTGGGGTAACCATGAAATTCATCCAAACCGGAAACGGGGTGCTGCCCAGATGGCTTGTAGGGTCACAGTTAAAACAAGGATGTGTGGGCACTCCAGTGACCTCGCCGATTCTTCCTAACGGTCTTAGGGCATTGTCACCCCCTGGCTAGGCCTGAAGGTAAGCAACCTCCTCAGGCTCTCGTGTGATAAGTAAAAGAGTTGGATTTCACACCCAGGTCCAATTCCAAATCCTGAGCTTTTACCTTTTCTGTCACAGTAATGAAGAGAGTGATGTGTATGGACACCAAATTCCTCCCTAGTGATGCTTCGTAAGCCCATTTATACCAGAAGGTTCCCGTCTTCCACGCCTCACCTGTCCTCTCACCAAGGCAGGTCCAGCACACGCTCAGCTCCAGCCCGCCTCACACACCTCATCCTGACTTTCCGCAGGGCGCCATGACTCCCGGGATCCCCATCTTCAGCCCGATGATGCCGTACGGCACAGGGCTGACTCCGCAGCCCATTCAGAACACCAACAGCCTGTCCATCCTGGAGGAGCAGCAGCGGCAGCAGCAGCAGCAGCAGCAGCAGCAACAGCAGCAGCCGCCCCCGCAGCCGGCGGCGGTGACCACCGTGGCGGCCGCGGTTCAGCAGTCAGCGTCCCAGCAGGCGACTCAGGGGGCCTCAGGACAGACGCCACAGCTCTTCCACTCACAGACTCTTACGACGGCCCCGTTGCCGGGCACCACACCCCTGTACCCCTCGCCCATGACCCCCATGACCCCCATCACGCCTGCCACGCCGGCCTCGGAGAGCTCGGGGATCGTGCCGCAGTTGCAGTGAGTGCCTGTGCCGGGTCCTCTTGCCTCCCGGGCGGGTGCCTGGCTGCCGTGCCGCTGGCCTGGTTTTCCGAGGGACCCGTGGGGTCAAGGATGTGGCGCCCACCATGGTCCTGGGCTCTGGTTCGCTGTCTCTCGCAGATGAGGGGGTCCAGGCCTTCTGTGCGAGTCGCCCTCTGTGAAAAGCTCTCCCAGCACAGTTGGAGGCCAGTGGCTTGTGCTTACACACCTGGGCCAGTGGAATCCCAGCAGCACTTCGCTGTGGTTATTTTAGACGGTTCCCCGTAGCGGATGCGCTCAGTCGAGCCTCCTTCTCTTGGGGTGCTTTCAGTCTTTGGGAAGATTAGCCGCTTAGTCACAGGAGCAGCATAGCTCTCCGTGGCCCTCGTTGCCCTTTGCTGAGTGTTAGGACGGCTGCCCACACGCCTTTGGAAAGGGACGTCTTTCTGGGCAGCCGAGGGCGGCTGTCCTTGCCCTCGCTGGACCCCCTGCCTCCGTGAAGTGGGTCCTGCATGTCACAGAATGGGAGGGCGGGCATGCGATTTGTCGATGCGGGGAGGAGGGAGTGTCTGGTGGGTGCAGAGTCGCAGGCGTGGACGGAGGTGACAGCTGCACGGTCGTGGGAGCGTGCTGGCCGCCCCTGAGCTGCGCGCCTGAGGTGGGGGAGGGGGCTAAGTTTCGCATTATGTGCCTTTCAAAGACAGTGTTTCAAGAGGAGAAAGGGAAGTGCGGCGGCTGCGTGACCATGCCTGTGACAGGCACCGGAGGCCCGTGGTGCAGCCCGGCCGCCGGCCGGCGCCCGCAGGCGGGCCCGTGGGGCTCCTGGGAAGGGCGTGGGTGATGTGGAGGCGAAACTCTCCCCGGGGGTTACCCAGAGTGGCCGGGCGGCTGTCCCCTCAGGCAGACAGTCAGGCTGGGAGCCGCCAGGCCCTCGGAAGGGCCACCCGCGTGTGACAGAAGGAGCCAGTCGCAGCAGTGAGCCAGAGCCCCCGGAGGCGGGCCTGCGGCTGGGCTCGGGGGTGGCGGGGCGGGGAGGCTCCGCCGGAGGGCGCTGCGCTGCAGCTTGCGGACCTGCTTTCCAAGCCGGGAAAAGGCAGAAGAGACGCTTAGGTTGGCTTTGCTTGCTAGTTTATTAAAATTTCTAGTACAGTTGGTTTTCACTGTACTCTTGTAAGTTATTCATAAAATGACAGAAGGATACTAAACAAAGGGGCCATTCATTGGTAATATCTGAGGGTTCATCAGAAGAAAACAGATTTTTTCCCCCTTTCCCAAGATACCGAGTTGTTTTGTTTTTAAGATTTTATTTATTTATTTTTAGAGAGAAGGGAAGAGGAGGAGAAAGGGAGAGAAATACCAGTGTGTGGTTGCCTCTCACATGCCCCCCATTGGGGACCTGACCTGCATCCCAGGCCTGTGCCCCGACTGGGAATCAAACCCTCAACCCTTTGGTTTGCAGGCCGGTGCTCAGTCCACTGAGCCACGCCAGCCAGGGCCAAGACACCAAGTTCTTGTTCTTCTGGAAGATACTCTGAGAGGACAGAGACAGTCATTCTGCCCATTTCCTCTGTAAAGAGTGGTTTTAGGACTGGGGGGTGCTGTTTAAGGCTCAGGGCCGGGGTATGTTGGCCTTGGTGGAAGGCGGGGGCTCTGGGCGGGCGGCCCGCACCCCAACCCTCTCACGGGGGGACCGCGTGTGTTCTGAGCAGGTTGCCCATTTAAGCTGCAGCATCTTAAGCCTCTGAGGTTGTTACTACTTCACAGTGCACTGTAAGTATTAAGTAATTGCGTATATACAATAAAACGCTCGCCGTGGTAGGTGGTGCCTGTTAACCATTTAATAAATGTCAACAATTTTTTAAAATTTTAATTAAAAAGTTTTGTTAAAGTTAAAAGAATTTAATGAAATCAAATTAGTTCTCATCAAAGAAACAGCTTCCTAGGTGATCATCTAACGCCTCATCCTGTAAAAGTGAAGTGAGTAAATTGTGTTTTCTTTTGAAATTTTTTGCAGAAATATTGTATCCACAGTGAATCTTGGTTGTAAACTTGACCTGAAGACCATTGCACTTCGTGCCCGAAATGCTGAGTATAATCCCAAGGTGAGAGCACTTGTAATGTATTCACCCTGTAACACAGGAATTTACTTCTCAAGGCCGCTGGATCCAAAGGCCTGTGTGTGGTAGGACATTGGCGTCCTTCTGCCAGTGGGTGGGAGCCGGGTGGCCGCTGGGATGTGCTTGGAGCCAGAGGTGTGCCCTCCCTCTGGATGGGAAGGTTTTCAAGCAGAAAGTCTGTGGTCACAGGAGCTACTCGGAAGCAGCAGACAATGAAAGGCCGGCACAGGGCCCAGAATTTATCAGGGACACAGTGAGTTAGGGGGAAAGCCGCCGACGCTGCTCCCACAGCGGGAACGCAGAAGAGGATGCGCAGGTTGCGGTCCAGCCTCGCGGCCCCAGGTCTCCCTGTGCGCAGGGCGCTGGGCCCTGCGTGGGCGGGGCCACCGGCTGGGTAGCTGCACAGCAGTCCTCGCGGGGTGCTCGCCTGGCCCCACTAACCCCCTCCTGTCTCTGACCGTCCAGCGGTTTGCCGCCGTGATCATGAGGATCCGGGAGCCGCGGACCACCGCGCTCATCTTCAGCTCCGGGAAGATGGTCTGCACAGGTGCCAAGAGGTGGGTGCCATGCCACTCGCGGCCGCGCCGCGTGGCTGTCGGGGAGGCGGACGCTTCGGCAAAAGGCCCTTGTGTCCCTGTTAAAACGGTTGGCCTGACCCCTTCGGTCCGCAGTCATGTCTTTAAGTCAGGCAGGAGTTTTGGACATACCGTTCAGTTGCATTTTATGTGTGTCTGATGATATGTTACATCAAAATTATTGAGAAGGATCCCTTTATATAAAAAATTTTATACGTAACACAGGTCCATCCACAAGAGGAAAAGATTTGGCTAGTAATCAGGAGAGGGCAGCGGTGGCCTCGGCTCCGGCGATGTGGCGCGGGCTCGGGGGCCACTGCCCGCGCACTGCGGGGAATTCGCCCCGAGGGTCCGAGTCCTGCACCTCGGAGTCAGACATCAGACAGAGCGGGCGGCCGGTCTGCCCCGGCCGCTGAGTATTTGGGGCCTGGACTGGTCAAACCTGTCTCAGCCACAGGTATGGCCGGAGGAAGAGGAAGGGGGAAGGTTAGTAACAAGTGAAGTAAATAAAACTCTTAAAATAAGAGATGATTAAAATGCACTTGGAGGTGTTAACCCGCAGAGGAGGCTGTGGATGCTTTTGCTCATTCTGAACCGCAAAGCTGTCTTTTTTTTTTTAAGACTATTTATTTATAGTTATTGGGGGGGGGGGGCGCGAGAGGGAGAAAGGGAAGAGAGAAAGATCCGTATGCGGTTGCCTCTCTCACGCCCCCGCACTGGGGACCTGGGCACACAAGCCAGGCAGGTGCCCCGACTGGGAAGTGACCTTTGGTTCGCAGGCTGGGGCTCGGTCCACGGAGCCGCACCAGTGAGGGCTGAGCATCATCTTTTGACAAAGGGAAGGCCATTCCTGTGGGCTTCCTGGCTCAGAGTGTCTCCAGGCAGCAGGACGCAGCTCCGTGCCTCGCTTTTTTAGGGGTCCTGAAGGGCTGCTTGTCCTCGGGAGATAACGGCAGGAGCCGAGGTTCTCGGGGGCAGCTCTGAGCTGTGCTCGTCACTAGAGGTGATTGGCGCTGACTCTCGCGCTGTTGCCCGGAGTGCGCGCTCGGGCTGAATGGTGTGCCTCTATGTGGGCCATCGTTTTATTACAAAAGATGTCATACATAGCCCTGGCTGGCGTGGCCCAGGGGATTAGCGCCGGCCTGTGAAGCAAAGGGTTGCAGGTTCGATTCCCAGTCAAGGCACGGGCCTGGGGTGCAGGCCGGACCCCCAGTAGGGGGCGTATGAGAGGCAACCACACATGGATGTTTTTCTCCCTCTCTTTCTCCCTTCCCCTCTCTCTAAAAATAAATAAATAAAATCTTTAAAAAAAAGAAATCATAAATTTATTATCCTCAAAAAATAGCACTGCGTGTATGGTTTTTTCATTCCTGATCCTGCACCCAGGAGTCTTCTGTTTATGGTGAGACAGTTGCTCTTGCTTGTGTTTTATATTCCAAATCACAGTTCTTTCTAACCAGTGGGTTTTAGAAATGGATCTAAAGGAGGGCAGGATGCGCGTGTGCACTCCAGGCACAGACTGCAGCTGTGTTTCCCTGTCGAAAGGAACTCATTGGTTTTCATCTCAGCGGTGATCTGCGGGCTAAAATACAAAGACGGCAGCGGTAACGGTGCCGATCATGTCTCGCATCTGTGAGTTCTCGGGCTGCCGGTGATTTGGTGACTTGCAAAGGTGGCCATTTTGGTAGCCTGCCAAGGACACAGGATGACTTCGCAGTAAAACCACTCGTGTCTGTGATCTTTGCTCTTACTAAGAAGGGGGTGGCCTCCTTAAAGGGCTGTCTGTCCAAACGGCCGGCCTTGCCCTCCCGCCCCACAGCGAGGAGCAGTCCCGACTCGCAGCACGGAAGTACGCCCGAGTGGTGCAGAAGCTGGGCTTCCCGGCCAAGTTCCTGGACTTCAAGATCCAGAACATGGTGGGGAGCTGCGACGTGAAGTTCCCCATACGGTTAGAAGGCCTTGTGCTGACCCACCAGCAGTTCAGCAGGTGAGTCTCACCCAGCCACACCCTCGTCAGACGTGTGTGATAGCATGTTTGCGGGGCAATCAGCGCGTAGGGACGGGGTCAGTCGCTCAGCTGCATGCCCTGGGGACTTCTCCGGCAGCTGCAGGGATGTGTGGTTCTTGCCAGCCTCCCCCACCACTGCAGGAGGTGACGTGAACACCCCCTTTACAGATGGAGTGGATCCCCCTCTGTGTGATCCAGCACCGCATTGCTCAGCGAATGCATTCACGCGCATGGATAAACTCATCGCCGTGCGTGTCAGCCTTCCCCCAGTTCTTTGAATCTCTGGTTCACCCAGTGTGACCAGATCCGCTAGCTGCGGCTGAGTGACATGAGTGTGCCTTCCGCTGGTCCCCCCGCTCGGTCCCGCTGCACCCTGCCAGCCAGGCACCCTCTCCGCAGCCTCCAGAGGAGGCACCCAGCGCCGCTTGGGCTTCATGTGCCCTCGGGGCGCCCGGCCCCGCACATCCCGTGGAGCGTCTCTTCCTCAGAGGGCCCTTCCTGGATTTTCAGAGGTTTCACTGTGTTCCACCTCTGAGCCCATGGGATGGCATTGCTGGGGTCAGCGTAAGGCCCACACGCAGAGCACTCAGTCGGCGGGGTCGGGGAAAGGCCTTTCTCTGCCCGCCCTGCTTTCTGTCACTCAGGTCAAATTGCCTGACCAGCATTCACAGCCAGAGAATATTTCCATTTAAGGAGACGAGGTGGGAATGACTAAAAGGCAAAATGTTACTCCAGCTCTGAGAAACAAACGTCATCCCTAAACTTGCCCAGAACGATACTGGGCAGAGCCAGAGAGATCTCGGGATGTTAGCGGAGCGCCCGTTCCGCCAGAAAGCGAGGGCAGAGGTGCCGAGTCCCTGATGCCGCCTGGGGCTTCGCCTCCTTGCAGGTGGCTGTCTTTCCATGTCTTCACTTACACAGGCCTTTTATCTGAAAGCATGGGCAGCTTTTAATTTATTAATTGTTTTTGTCATTTTCTTTCTAGTTATGAGCCAGAGTTATTTCCTGGTTTAATCTACAGAATGATCAAACCCAGAATTGTTCTCCTTATTTTTGTTTCTGGAAAAGTTGTATTAACAGGTAAGTTGTAACGGGAAGTCATGTCTAAGGTTTGAAAGTTCCCGGAATGGCGCGCTCTCAATGCTGAGGAGTAACGGTTGGAGCTGGGACAGTTGGTGACGTGTAAAGAGGCCGTTTTTCCCATCCCAATGCACTGGCCTGGCAACAAACACCCCCACCCCCAGGGAAACAGGCCCCTGAACCGGCTGGTCCTTCAGCCCAGGCTTGACTGGGCTGGGGGAGGGGAGAAGGGGAGCCTCACACGGGCTGTGAGGTGCAGTTTTAAGTAGGAAATTGTCCCTGAAGGCTTCGCGTTCATCCCGTGTCCTTCCGAGACAACACAGGGAGACTCGGAGGCGCTCGGTGGCAGGCGGCAATTGGAGAGGGAGACGCAGCCACTGTTGTGGCACCTGCAGCACAACAGCCGCTGCCGAGAGGGGCCACGGCACCTGGGGCCCAAAGCCCTTTTATGAAAATACCGCTTTAAAAACAAGGGGGATTGGGACAAAGGGGGTCGGTCACCAGCAGTGTTTGCAGGCTCCCCGCGGTGGGGAGACTGGAGCTGGTGGGTTCGTTTTAAAGGCACAGTCCCACCTCGTCACAGGTCAGGAGATGCCACTCCGCACTCCCACCGCGGCTCCCCTTGTCTTCACAGGTGCTAAAGTCCGAGCGGAGATTTATGAAGCCTTTGAAAACATCTACCCCATTCTCAAGGGCTTCCGGAAGACCACGTAACGGCCGTGCCGCCCTCCTCCGCCCGCCCCCGCGTGGTTCTGGAGACACACCAGTCGGTACACGGAGGTGGTGGGGCCGCGGGGCCGGCCTGCGCGCGCCGGGGTTACTGTCGGGCGGCGCCCTGCTGCCCCTTTGTCTAGATTTAGGTTTTTAAACACTCACTGCTGTTGACAAGTTGGTTTAAGGGACAAGACTTTAGTGTTAAAGCCACCTCTACAATTGACTGGACTTTTTATTTTGTTTGCTTTCTTCCCCATAAACCACAGTTTTTATATTTCTACCAGGAAAGTAAAACTGTTTTTTAAAAGTGTTGTTTTTCTAATTTGTAACCGCTAGGGTTTGTTTCTGTGCCAGACACATTCCGCCTCTTCAGTATTGCAGGAGTGAACAGATGCGCCAACGAGCGCGAACGGCTGTAAATATTCCCTCCCCGCAGAGCTCTGTACAATAAATGCTGTTTATGAAAGTGTTAGACTGATGTTATAAACGAGGCCTTGTGAGACGTATCTAATCACACTCGTTCAGACGTCGTATTTTAGACATGACACCTGAAACCGTTTCAGGGCGTGCCTGTGCGTTTCCGCCAACGTCCCGTTGCACGTTGCAGCGCAAGCGGAGGGACTGTCTGAACGGTCAAGGTTGCTCATCAAACGTGTTGATCCACGGATGCAGCTCCTCCTGTTCCCCACAGGCACTGGCTGCGACTACCCCCTGTGCCCCCAGATCCCTCCTGCTCCAGGCCAGCTGCCACCCCACCCCGCAAAACAGCCACCGTCCTGGTAGCCGTCTTCCAGTTTTTAAAATTTGATAGGTTTTTATATCTGTTTTACCCCTGAAGTTTTCCCTCCATCTCTTTTCCTTCAAATCTGGGGTCGCTTGGCTGGTTGGTTCTCAGAGGGTGTTTCTCCGTCTGCAGACTCCGCGAAGCTGCACCGTGCCCGCCTCTCCTGCCGAGCCCAGGGGCCTTGTCCCTCTGTCACAACTGAGAGGCGTGTTCTTTGCTGAGGGATCAAGGGCTGGGTTGTCTCCTCTGATCCACCCTTAACTTGTTAGGGGATTGCAGATAATGAAGTTCTAGTCATTTCACTTTTTCTCATGTTCATTGGAATATTTTTATAAACTGATACACTTCAAGATAAAATACCTCATGAGTTCACACTGCCCGATTCAAATTTGGGGCTAATGCAGTTTTATTTAACCAATTCTAGATTATGTTGTTGTCTTTTACACTAAAAATTACTAATTAAAAAACAGCTGATGAATTAATATGTCCCATAATCAGTCATCTCACGTTATATTTGCAACATCGACAGAATAACAGGACCCTACCGCCACTACGATTATCAAAGGCGTCATAGCGTATTTTTTGCTGCGCTTTCAGACCGTCAGGAGGCTGAGACAGGAACCCCGCGCCTCCGCCCAGTGCTGTCCGGCTGGGCAGAGTCAGGCCGAGTGGGGGCTTGTTGGGGGTGGGCGGGGGGGATCCAGGGGCCGAGGCAGGAGCACTTCGTGGGGGAGAGGCCCATCCTTTTACAGTGTTTCTAAATGTCTCAACTGTAGAGGTAACAGTTGCATGTTGTATGTTGCGTTATGTTTGATCTGGTTACTGTTCTTTAACCCTCGGCCTATTTTAGGAGACGCTGGGGGAGGCACAGCATCCAGAGTGACCGCCGTGGGGGGGCTGGCGGCTGGGCGAGCATGCGAAGGGGTGGAGCCGAGCCTCCTGGGTGAGCGTGGTGACTGAGGACCGGGGGAGGGGCCGCGGAGGCAGGAAAGCGTGAACGGGAAACGGTGAGGGAGAGGGCCCGGCTTGGGGTGGCGCGCCCAGTTCACCGTGCAGATGATGCCGAATCGTAAGCCTGAAACCTACATAATTTTATTAACCAGTGTTACCCCAATAAATTCAATTAAAGCAAAAGGAGAAGGCGGCCCTGCAGAGGACGGGTGTGCCTTTCCCTCCAGTGGTAAGAGGAGCAGAAACGCCAGACCGCGCTCCTGAAGGACACAGTGCCTGGACTTCTGTTCCTGCCAGGGAAAGGGGAGGTGGAACCCTGAAGGCAAGGGGAGAGAGAACCAAGGTCAGGCTTCGGCTTTGTCGGGGCACCGGGGGGGCCGCAGGGCACACATGGGCCCGCCTGAGAACAAGGAGACCCCTGTCTGGGGCGTGCGGAGCGGCCGGGGCGGTGGGCGCGTCGGACCAGGCTGGGGGGGGGGGTGCGGGGGGGGCGGGGGGCACGCTCCCTGGCGTCACCCGGGTCCCTGGGGCCTGCCGAGTCCCAGGCGGCTCCTCACCTGTCAATAAATCCCTTCCTGTTAAGCGACTTGAGCTGTGTCCTTTGCAACCAAGAGTCCCAACTCAGAAAGGCTGAGCTGGACAGGTGCGGAGGCAGGAGGGGCGGCGCCGGGAGGGTGTGGCGCACGGTTCTGAGGGGCTGCAGTGTCCCGCCCCGGCTGGGGGGCTCCGTGGACTGAGCGCCGGCCTGCGAAGCAAAGGGTCGTCGGTTCCATTCCCGGTCGGGGCCCAGGCCTGGGTGGCGGGCCAGGTCCCCAGCAGGGGGCGCGCGCCCTCCCTCCCTTCCTGTCTCCAAAAGTAAAATAAGTAAAAAAAATAAAAAGGGCTACAGTGTCCTGAGAGGGAGGGGAGCAGCAGGCGGTGACGCTGAGGTAGGTGGGGCCAGGACGCATCCCACTTTGCAGAGGGTGCCGATGATCAGCCCTCCTCCAACTTCACAAAGGGCCCGTTTGTGTTTTCTCATTGTTGTCCTATCACAGGCCAGTGCACTTGTGAACACATTGAAATAGCACTTAGAAAAAGAAAAGACACTCAAACTACACTAGCCCAATTTTTGTTAAAGGTTTAATTTATATTTTTGGAGAGAGGGGAAGGGAGGGAGAAAGAGGGAAACATCCAAATGTTTAATCATGAGATTACACGGACGTGAAGTCACCTGTTCAGGGACCATACACGCATCCTCAGCTGCAGCGCTTACCTCGCCGCAGGCTGCAGAGGAGCAGCCTGCGCCCAGCATGGGTTCACAGACCACACAGCAACGTGGCTGGAGGCAGGGGGAGCCACGGAGGCTTTACACAGAAGTGTCGAGATGTAAATTGAGTTTTTAGGATAACTGTGCCTTCAGTGATGCATTGCAAGGAATCCTGTCCAAAACTGTTCTCAGGACCTGGGATGAACCCCCAGAAGGCAGCCATAAAAGGTGACTTGGGCGGTTAGAGCTTGCTAACGCTCTGAGTGGCAGAGTTAGGATTTTACGCTTTTGCCTGTCAGAGCCATGCAGAGTGGCCTGCGCTGACTTGTGAAACAGCAACTTAGTTTCTGAGACGAGGCTGGCGCATTCAGGATATGTGGCCTCCCAACAACTGTGTTTCCGACACTGGCAGGAGGAAGAGGAAGAGGCTGAACAGACAAGTACGTGTGCGTGTGCGTGCACATGTGTGTGCACATGCAAGTGTGTTTGTGCAAGCGTGGGCGTGTGTGCGTGTGCACCGGGGTAGCAAGCGCTATGTCCTCTCTGTTTTGCCCCCATTGGCCTGACGGCGGAGCCCTGTGACCCAGCGAGGCCGGGAAGTGGGGGTGCACCGTCTCCGCCAGCCGCGCCCCAGGATGGAGGAGGCAGCAGCTGCCCTGGGCCTTCATTGCCTGGTCGTTTGATTTGGAAAGAGACCCCCCACAACCACCAGAACCAGTGCTTCGGAATGGCCCCTCCACAGAACATCTCGGCACAGATTGTTTATTCTTTGGTATGTAGTCAATGTTAAAAAGTATGTTCTGAAGGGCAAGTAAATGCCCTCAAACGCCCAAATGGAAACAACAGTCTTAGAGTGAATTTTGAAAAGATATTTTCAAAACTCAGCAAGTGACAGGAAGGACTCCCCACGTGGGGTGATCAGCAAGCATCCCTCGTGGGCGGGGCTGATACTTGGCAGGAAACCTCCGTGCCCTGCTCCCCCGCCCCCGCTGACGGCAGCTGCCGGGCATGTGTTTGGAGCCGTCTTTGAGGGTGCCCTTGATTGGGTTCATCAGTTTCCCGTGGTGCTAATGTTGTTTTTTGCTGCTGTGTCGCATGAGTTGTTACGGGTATTAACTTCTTACCAGGTATAAATTTTTCCATTGTATAGGTTGTCGTCGTCTTTTCTCTGGGCAGAAGCTTCTTGGTTTGACGTAGTCCCACCTGTTTTTTTGTTGCTTGTGCTTTGGGGGTCTTGTCGAGAAATTCATCACCAACACCCATTTCAAGGAGGCTTTATACTGTGTCCTTCTGGGAGTCACATGGTTTCAGGCCTTGCACGTCAGTCTTTAACCCACTTTGAGTTGACTTCTGTGAGTGGGTGCAACACAGGCCCAGCTTCACTCCTTTCCACGAGAACATCCACTGTCCTGGCACCTCGTGTGGAAAAGAGTCTTCCCCACCAAGCCCCTTGGAGCCCCTGCTCGCACGCGCTGCCCATGAATGTGTGGGTTTCTTTCTGGGCTTTCCGTCCTGTTCCACTGATCTGAGCATGTGTTTTCATGCCAGCACCGTGCTGTTTCGATGGCGGCCGCTCGGCAGTGTAGCCTGAAACCCAAGTGCGACGCCCCCGGCTTTGTCCTCCCTCAGGGTTGCTTTGGCTTCTCAAGGTCTTTCGTGGTCCCACATAAATTTGAGGACTGTTTTTTCTTCCTGTAACAAGTTGCCAGAAGAATATTGCTATGGATTGCACTGAATCTATAAATGGCTTTGGATAGTAACATTTTGTTTTAAAGATTTTATTTTTAGAGAGAGAGAGAAACATTGACTGGGCGTCTCGAAGGAGCACCCAAGCGGGGACGTGGCCCACAGCCCAGGCCTGCGCCCCGACTGGGAATCGAACCGGCGACCCTTTGGTTTGCAGGCGGGTGCTCAGTCCACTGAGCCGCACCACCCAGGGCAAAAGCTGCTGTTCTTTAACGTGGCTGCCAAGTCAGAGCAGTGACACGGTTTCTGGTGACGTGGACCAGCCTACCGTCACCTCCTTCCTGCGTTTGGTGGGGACTCGCGCCTGAAGGGCAGCGTGGCTGGTTCCTACCAATGTGCCCGCAAGAACGTCCCCGTCTTCTCGTGTGTTCGAGCACAGACATTAATGAACTTGCTGAAAGTCCTTAGCGGTCAGGACATTCTGCTTTGGAAAACTTTCCAGGGCATATACCGACCTAAGAATCATCCTCGTTTGGGATACGAGGCCCCCCTCATCCAGATTTCCAGAAGTCACTGAGCTCCCTGCCCAGCTGCCCGGTGTGTGACTCTTGCCACAACTGCGAGTGGGTCCCTCAGGAGCCAGTCTCCATCCCCGGTCAGGGTGACCTCGGACCTAAGCCCCGCCCCACTTCAGAGCTGCCCCCAGCGCCTTCTCCCTGGGCAGGTGGCGTCCAACAGCCTCCCCACGGGGAGTCCTGGCAGCAGCTTCCCGCCTGGCGGCGCTGTTTAACCCTGTTTCGGTGCACACCTCGGAATTGTATACGCACACACCCGTGGCGTGGACTTTCTGGTCCACATACAGTGGAACGGCCACATAGCAGCATTAGCAGATGAGGTTGCCTCTGCAATGGTTTGTTTTGGTGGCGGTGCTCCTCAGGCTCAGCAGGGACGTGCGCGGGAGAACGTGACCCCACGCAGGTTAAAGTGACCACGAGACACCGGAACGCACTGCTGGCGTGCAAGCTGGGTCTGTGGCGGCGCCTCCGGGTTTGCCTGGGGCTGAGGCTGGACAGCAGCCCCAGACTCTCGTGCGCCACATGGGGCTGGTGGGAGCCTTAGGGCCGCAGACTGCGGAGGAGCCTGTGAACAGACGCACCCGAAAGCTGGCATTCTGGGCTGGACAGGACCGCCCTGGGCCGACCCAGGGACCTTGCGACCCATCTGCAGCCTCACGCTCCAGCTCCCTCCCCGGCACGGTGGCAGGAGACGTGCGGCGGACCAGCGCCCGCCTGTCACACTGGCCACGAGCAGCACCACGGGCCGGCCGAGGGCCGCCGTGCGGCAGGGCTTCCCTTGGTGTCAGGCCGTCGGACACGAACCGTCTCCCTTGTTCGCCAGCTCTGCTGCTGCCTGAAGACGCCCGGCCGCTCGCCTGCCGAGGGGGACCGTCGGCTTTCCCGTGTTCTGTGCGTGTTCTGTGCTCCGTGTGCCCCAGAGGCTGTGACGACTGCCCGGTCGGCTGACAAGTCCGCTGCTGTTCTACCCAAATCTCTTCTCTTTTACTCTATAAATTCCAGGTGGGGGTGGCGGGGCGGGGAAATGATCTGAGCAACGTTTTGACTTAACTAGGCACATGACCCATTTTTATTGAAGAAAAATAGATACACGTAAGAAATTCATTTCACTCCCCCCCCGCCCCCGGCAGCCTTCAGAGCTGGCGTGCACCTTTGCAGACTCACTCACACGCGCACGCGCACGCACACACAAACACACGTTTGGAAGTGCACGGTCCACAGGGGCGCCATCGGGACGGCCTCCTCGTGCCCGTGCCGATGGCGCCTCATCTGCTGTGCGGGCAGGTCTGTGTCCAGGAGGCGCAGCAGCCGCCGGCTGGACAGACACCCCGACACCGGCACTGCCCCTGCGATGGGGCGCTTTCGTCCCACTGGTATTCAGACATGGCCAACGATGCCCGACACATCTTTGTCCTTTTCTCTCAGGTTTAGTAACCTCCTCAGGATGGAGCCCTAAAAATGGAACTGCAAGCTCTACGAGATCAGGAGCGTGTCAGGCCTCACGAGCTCGTCTCTAAGGCGCCGCTGTCACGTCCTGCTTCCACACGAACTCCTCGGCGTAGCCGGAGCCCAGGCCGCAGCTCTCCGCACAGGTGAAGACAGCAAGGACGCCCCAGTCCAGGCTGCGGCCCAGCCTGTCGGCCTTGAGGTGGTTGAGCAGCTGCGGCATCACCTGCGCGGGACGACAGGTCAGGGGCCAGCCACTGGCAGGGCGCCCTCCGCGCCCCGGCCTTCCCTGCCAGGGTGATGGCGGGGCCCTGAACTTTCAACCCCCGCCGCCCCCCGCCCCCCCACAGCAGAATCGGGGGGGGGGGAGTGAGGCCCTGCCCAAGGACACGACACCGCTCCACACGGCACCACCTGCCCCCCCAGCACCCTGGACGCCGCCCTCCCAACTCCCTGCCTACCCCGAGGGGCCAACACGGCCCACCCCGCTGCACCCCGCTGCACCCCGCTGCACGGCGAGGGAATCCACAGGGAAAGGTTTCCGCCCAACCCCAAAAGGGTTTTGACGGTAACAATTTCTTCAGACAAAACATCTGTGGTTGCATCCCTTTCTTTTCCTAACAAGTCCCCAAGCCCGGGCTACCCAGAGCTACGTTCTGAAACGCTCCTCTCACAAGGGCCCGGACAAGCAGAACGAGGTGCGTTACACAGAACCACAAAGCCAGGAGCAGAGGCCCCAACAGCGACCCTGGGGCCGCGCCGGGGGGTGGATGGCGGCCGTCCGCCCGCGTGAGCACGCGCCGCCGTGGCTGCCCGAAAGCTAGTAACTGACAACTGCCAAAAACGTCCCGCCACACGGAGACGGAGGCGATGACCAGCCAAAGCAGGAAATGACCGGCCTGAGGCCCTGAGGTGGGGCCGGGAATCACTGACATTCACAGTAAGGCAGCTTCTGTAACAGCACGCGGGCTCCACACGCGGGAAACTTGGGAGCCGCTCTGTGATGGTGAGGCCAGAAAGCAGCGTGTAGGGCGCACGCGGGCCCCGCGCGGGGTCGCACCTGGAACTCGAAGGCCCTCCTGGAGCCACAGGGGCAGTCCGGGATGTCCTCTTCCCGGGGGACGTTCTCGCCGGAGATCCAGACGGGCGCGATCCCTCGGCCGTACCTGAGGATCTGAAACCAAGAGGGTCACGTTCCGACCTCCCGGCCGGCCCAGGACATCCCGCTGGCTCCCCAGGGTCGGACATGCCCGGGAAAGCCAGGGCTCTGCCCCGCCACACCCAGCGCCCAGTCAAAGGCGCTGCCTTCTCAACGGTTTCTCAACGGTATGGAAGCCCTTCTTTCAGCTTCTCTAACTTGACAGGAAAATTACGTGATGACAGGGTTCAAATCTCAATCTCGCGACTATTTTGTGTATGGACTAACGATAAACCTGCGTCCCCGTTACCAGGTTCTGAACCCCAAACGCAGCCGTTTGTGTTCACACAGATCTAAGGAACCCCGGGTTGACATTTTAAGGGGACAGATACCACGGGAAACGTGGTGTTGAAGTCAATAAACTTCACTATGATGAGACCTTCTGTAACAGCCGAGCAGATGTCCCATATTCCACTGCAAGCACACGGTGCTCAACGCCACCGCCAGCGTCTCAGACCCAGAGCCACTCCCCCCGCACCCGACGGCACCGGCGGCCGGGGTTCCCGCCGCGGCTGCTGTGCACCGGGAGGGCGTGGCGGGGAGCAGCGAGGCGGGGGGACAGCCCGGAGCCCTCGGCCGCTGTGACCACAGCAGGGGGTCGCGCCATGACGCCAGGACCCAGGATTCTACAAAACCAGTGTCTTTGTGTTAACATATCACGTTGGTTTTATAACTTAAAGGTCCCCATTAGAAAATGGGGAAAAACATCTTTCCTTTCTGTTATCAGTGCCTGAAGTCCATGTGTCAAAGCCAAGGCCCCCGCCCTGACGCTCTCTTTAGAAAATCCTGCGTGGCCGGCAGCCTTCCCCCCTTCAGTGCCTGGGAGAGGAGCTGCTGGGGTGAGGCCGCGTCGGGGGGCGGACCCCTGCCGCCGCCCGTGGGAGAGCCCGGGAGGGAGCGACGTGAGTTCTGCGTTACCTGTTCTGGTTCCAGGGCTACTTTAGTTTTGAACTTCTGGAAGATCTTATCTTCTCTGGATTCGTGTTTTGCCATGGACTCCAATTCTTCCTCCGGAGCTTCAGCTGAAAAACCATCACCGTAACGATTGTGCCAAGAGGCGTAAGCCGTGGCCGGCAGCCCCAATGGCTGCCAACAGCCAGCCGAGAGCTGAGCAAGTCCAAGAGCAAGAGTGACCTGACCCGGAGGGCCCAGTCGGTGCCGAGACACCACCCGAGCCTCTGGGTTCTCCGTGCAGCATTACTTACTACACAGGCTCCTGGGGAGCCCTGCTCTGGGCTAAAACTTCACATTTACAAGAACAGAACGCAAGTCCAGTCGGGATGGCAGTGCCAGTAACCCTGGCTGCCTCCTCACACAACCACATCGCAACTGCAGCAAACTACGGAAACCAGCATCCAGACAGGCAGAATCGGAGCTGAGTGGAAGGCCCCCAACCCCAGGATGAAAGAAGCCACGTCGTGCCGGCTGGAGAGGCACAGGGAGGACCGGGCTCGCCCCACACCCCTGTGCGGGGACAAAAATCGGGAGGGACGTCTCAGGAGTGAGGAGTCGGAGTCCCAGCCCCGCACCTGGCCCCCAGCCCAGGGTTCCAGGGCCAGGAAGGTAAGTCCCCACAACTTCTGGCTGCAAAGACCAGTGGGGAAGGAGGCTGAGGAAGAAACTGCCGGAGCCCCACGCCGTTCCGCTCGAAGGGCCCCCACTCGGCCTCACGCGCGCTGGGCCCAGTGCTCCCGCAGCAGCATGAAGGGCACGAGGGACGGGACTGCCCAGCGTCGGGGCAAGATCTTGGGGGCGGGGGCGGGACGTGCGTGCGCAGGTTTCCCCCAGACGGAGGGGCAGGCAGAGTCCCTCGTCTGAGCCCTCGCCCCACAGAGCCAATCGGTGGGCGCCGCATCTGACACTCCCATCTGCCTCCTATCAGCTGGGCGCACACTGTGGGCCCCGCCCTGGGGATCCCCGAGGCCCCGCCCAGCTCTTGGCTTCCCCACGGGAATGGCTTGCCTCGGCCCCTGCCTCGGATCTTCCGAAATTCTCTCCAACAAGCAGCGCCTGGCTTCTGCAGGTCCCCTGCCGCTCGTGTGGTTGCCCCAGGCCCAGCGCCAGCAGCAGCTGGCCTTGGATCACAGCCCTCGCTCGGGCACCGCCACGCCCAGCGGGCGCAGCAGCCGTCTGTCTGCAGATCGCTTTGCAGCTCATGCCGTGTGGCCCTGAACAGAACGTGGGCAGTGGCCGACCTTGGACTTGCCAACAGCAACCAGGGCCCAAGTACAACCGGAGGGTGTACCCAGCCCACACGAAGGGCTCGCCTCGATTACCCAGCTTGGGTGACGGGAGGCTGTGCCACTGGACCTGACAGGACACCTATTACTTTAGGCCACACGACCAAGACAAGCACTCACGGCAGCTCTACCTACTACATAGAAACAAACACAGGGAGGCTGCCAAAACGAGGAGACAAAGAAACATGGCCCAAATGCAAGGAGAGAGCAAATCTCCAGGAAAGGACCTGAATGAAATGGAGGTAGGCATCTTTCAGAGGCAGAGTTCAAAACTCTGGTTTTAAGGATGCTCAAGGAACTCAGTGGGGACCTCAGCAGCATGAAAAAGATCCAGTGAGAAACGGAGTGTGCATTAATTGAAATAAAGAACAATTTAGAGGGAAACAGCAGCAGAGTGGATGAAGCCAAGAATCAGATGAATGATTTGGAACATAGGGAGCAAAAAACCACCACACAAAACAAGAAGAAAAGAGAATCCTAAAAAATGAGGATAGTATATGCAGCCTCTGGGACAACTTTAAACAATCCAACATTTGCATCATAGGGTGCCAGGAGGAGAAGAGAAAGAACAAGAAATTGCCACTCTATTTCAAAAAATAATGAAAGAAAACTTGCCTGATTTGGTTAAAGAAATAGACATGCAAGTCCAGGAAGCAGAGAGAGTCCCAACAAGGTGCGAAGAGGCCCGCTACTCCACGACACAGCATCATTAGAATGCCAACGATAAAAACAAAGAGAGACTCTTAGAAGCAGAAGAGAAAAGCAGTTAGTTACCCACGGGGGGGTCCTCATAAGACTGTCAGCCGATTTCTCAAAAGAAAACACAGCCCAGAAGGGACTGGCAAGAAATATTCAAAGTGATGAAAAGCAGGGACACCTCCAGCCAAATCTGCTCTACCCAGCAAGGCTGTCATTTAGAATCGAAGGGCAGATAAAGAGCCCCCCAGACAAGAAAAAACTAAAGATATTCATCATCACCAGACCAGTGTTACATGGCATGTTAAAGGGTTTTCTTAAAGATGAACATGAACAATAAAATTGGCAATACATACGTATCAAGAACTGAATCTAAAAAACAAAATAAACAAGCAGAATAGAAAAGAATCACAGACACTAGGTCGTTTCGATGGCTCCCCAGTGGGAGGGGCGTGGGGGGTGAAGAAGGTGAAGGGACGGAGAAGAGCGAACAGGCAGGTACAGAAGGGCCGTGGGGAGGCGGAGTCCAGGGTGGGGCACAGGGCAGCCACAGAGCACGCGCCGGACCCGTGGCCACGGGCCGTGGTGTGGGGACCGACTGCCTTGGGGGTGGGGGGCGGCTACGGGGGAAGGACCGGGACAACTGTAATAGCATAAACAATAAAAGGTCATTTAAAATAAATAAATAAAAACGTAACAGACCCAAGTCCTGGGCTTGGGACTGCTGAGCCCCACCCGCAAGGACAGCAGACACAGCTGTGAGCCCTCCCCACCCCCACCGCCCTCGGCCGTGGGACCGACTTCCAGCCTCCTCAGGCCTCAGGCTTCCCGTCCCCGCTGGTCCCCGCACTCGCCTGGCACGCTCCTAGGGCACCTGCCACTCCTTCCCCTGCACACTCTGCTCCTGGGACCCTGGCTGCCCGTACCATGCCTGTCCCCGACACCAGTTCGTCTCTGTGACAAGCATTAATGGTCATCTGACACCCTCAGTGTGAACTCTGGACCAGCAAGTCCACATTCTCATCTAAACTCTGACTTTGCGGTGGCTATTCAGAGCCCGAGTTCTCGAGTCCATGAGACGGGAGCTCAAACTCCAGAGGTAAAACGCAACCACCTGGGTTAGTCACACGACCGGACACCAGGGGGCGGAGTGGCTAATTCATCGTGATTTTCATGAGCTCCAGCACAGAAGCCCTCCGTGCGCAGTGCTGACTGACTGCTGGCTGCCGACCTTTATAAAAAAATCCAAGATAAGAAAGGGAGACGCACTTTGGAAGGCCCTGCCCCTGCCAGGCCCTCTCGCGCCCGCTGCTCTGAGCCGAGGGACAGCTCTCGGCCCCAGGAGACCTCACCGACGTCCCAGCATGCGGTGCAGTCCTGCCCAGCGGCCACCGGAGAGGCCACCTCGAATTTTCATGGGACAAGAACAGACCTGGCGTTCGCCAAGGTGGGAGGCTCGGGGAGGGTACGGTCACGCGCGGTAGGTGAAGACTCTGGGCTGCAGCCCCTGACGGGGCCGCCTGCTCCGCCCCGCGCCGCCTCCTGGGCACGCTGAGTCCCCGGCTGTCAGCCCGACGTTCAGCCACGCGACCAAGCTCTGAGACGGACGCCTTACCCATGCTCCCTGAAACCTCCGACGCGTCGTCTTTCTCCGAAACTTCAGGTGTAATCTCATCTTCCGTTTCTATTACGATTTCAAATTCTGGAAAAAGGAAGTTGTGGTCTGGAACTGTATTGTCTGAAGGACCTGAAACGAAAAGTCAACCAGCAGGATGAGTAAGCGTTCAGTCTTGAAGGTGCTCTAGTGCCCTGCTTCTAAAGCGTATGTCACATAGTAACAGTCTGCCTGGCAGGTTAATACCTGCGGCTCCAGTGGGTTAGGTTACAGGTTGTAACTAAGGGAGCGGGAATCTCACCGCTCTTCTATCACCAAGCTTCTGAAGAGAACAGAGCTTTTCTAATGTTAACTCTTCTCCGCAAAATAAAAGCCCTGGGTGGGCAGATGCTGGAGAGAGCTGAAACCGGAGCCTCGAAGGCGGACTCACCCGTCCGCCCGCAGGCCTGCTTGTGCCCCGCTCTCCAGTCCAGCGTCTGGTGCTCGCGGCCGCAGTAGCTCGCTCGGTGGCAGCCCGAGCAGGTCTTGGGGCCCAGGCAGCCGCACACCCTGCAGAGCCGCGGCCCGGACCTGAGCTGGAGGCGCACGGGCTCCGTCTCCGGCGGGGGCTCCTCGGCAGGTGGCTCATGTGAATAAAAGTCATTTTCCCGGGGTAGCTGATTTCTAAAAACTGAAAAAATGAGAAGAAAACATATTTTCAATAAATAAGTCAATTCAGGTATTTAAACCTCCATTTCGCACAGCGCAGAAAAAACACAATTCTCCTACGAAGACAATCAAGGCAGTTTTGCGTCTCGCGAGCTTATTTTCTCAAAGGAGAGAAAACAGCAGCAAAAAAAAAAAACCAACAAGAACGTCTTTATTTTAAATCAGCGTAGCTCGCTCTGGTTACTTAAGTTAATGCCGAGACTCAAAGGCCGCAAAGCTGCAGAAGAGCTGCGGGGACCCAGCCTCCCCAAAACCGACAAACTCGCAGCCTAAGCGCCGGTTTCAAGCAAGTGGGGGCGGGGCCGCGCGCGGCCGGGGACGCGGACGGCGGGGAGACCGCGCGCCGCGCGCCCCGCCCCAGCCCCGGCTCGCGCCGAGCCCGCGCCCGCCTCTCCGCCCCAGCACTCACCGCGCAGGCCCGCGCAGCAGGGCGGCGCGCGGCAGCAGAAGAGGAACAGGCCGCGGTGGAAGGCGTCGGCGCGGCCGGGCAGGGGCGCGTACAGCTGCAGCAGGAAGGCCAGCGGGCGGCCGCAGCGCGCGCACGCCAGCTCCGCGGGCCCCGGCAGCCCGGCTTCGCCCAGCCACGCCGGCCGCCCGCCCACTTTGCTGGGGAACTGCTCGCTGCGCAGCCGCCACGCCGGCGCCACCTCTACGAAGCCCAGCTCCGCCGCCATGGCGCGCGCGCACCGCCCGACGCTGCGCGCCGGCGGAAGGCGGACGTCGGCCCCGGCGCAAAGACCAGAAGCGATTGGACAGCCGGGGCGGGGGCCGGACTAACTTCCGGCCTCGGCGCTGGGGGGCGGGGCGCTCCCACGCTTACGGAGCGCCGGGGCCCGGCTCTGCGAGGCCCGGCTCTGCGAGCCCCGGCGAAGTCTGGCACGTGGCGCGGGCGCTCACGCGCACACGCCCGCCGCCTTGGGCCGAGCTCCGCGGCTGCCGAGCTGGGACGGAGCGGCAGCCTGTGGGCTCCCGGCCGGGTTAAGGGAGGGTTTTAGGGGCCAGGGCCTAGGGTTAAAGGGTGAGGGTTAGGGATTAGGGTTAGGAGCTTGTCGCGCGCGCAGGTTCGGGATGTAGTCTTTCCTGTAAGTCAGCCGGCGACTGCTTGCTCGCTTCCTGCGGGGCAGCCGGCACCAAGGACCCGAGGAGAGTGACTCAGTTACTGCGCTCTTCACTCAGCTTTCGTTGAATGCAGGTTCCCTCAAAGTAGAACATCAACCTACATTAGTATCCTCCTCACCCGCTGACGTAGCAGGAACAGGACACACACAGCGATCAATGGGGGATGACGCCCCCGAGTCCCAGTCTCAGTCTGCAGGTCCAGGAGACGGCACGGTGGGCAAGGAGGATGTCAGCGTCCTGCAGGGGGCGGACCTCCGAGCCAGGGGGCAGCAGGCAAGGCAGAGCCTCCGCGGCCGCCACCAAGGGAGGTCAGCGTGGCTGGAGCAGCGCTGTGGGGTGTGCAGCTCGGCGTCTCCGCCGTGGTGTGGAGCCTGCCTCGGTTGTGCCTTGAAGGTGATGCACTCCACCCTTCTGGGCCTTTCCGATAAATGTCTTGGCCCCACTTAGGGCGAGTGGGGGGTTTCCCCAGGAGCCTATGGGTCCTCGGCTCTGCAGACAGGGCTACTCTGACCTCGTGTGCAGATACGATAGGGGTGCCTCCTTGTCAGACGTGTCTGCTCTGACTTAACGTAGTTTCTCTCTTGAACCAAAGCATCATGGCTGACTGGTAGACCTCTTGGTTGACGACTGACTCCACTTTTTAATGTGCTTTGTGCTACCTTGACTGGACCAATGCCATGTTATTGGTCCTGCTCTCCATGGGGCTGGGCTTTAGGCTTAGATTTCACGGTTGCTGGGGAGGGAACTGCAACATCCCCTCTGCCCCCCCCACCCCCCACCCCACGGAGCCATCCACCGCCCTCAGCGGGAGCCAGAAATCTGGCAGCAGGCCTTCCTGGGTCGCCCCCCAGCCCAGGGCAGCCTCAGCTCCGCGGTGACTCCTGGGCGTCTGCATCCCGTTGGCTGCCCTGCAGCCCTTTGGTGCAGGGCCTGCGGCCGCTTGCCAGGGATGCTGTCGCCTGGGGGCAGTGGGGCTCGAGGCCAGAAGTGGAGAGGGGGCTGCAGGCCCTTCCAGATCCTCTCTACTGGCTGCCCTGGGGCCCTGCCACTGTCCCTGGTTCTCTTTGGGCTGGATGTGCAGCCACCTCAGCCCTCAATCCTCCCAGCAGCTCCCCAGCGAGCCCCGTCTGCAGCCAGCGACAGAGGGAGCACAGGCAGCCGGGGGCCGCCCCTCCCAGAGCACAGGAGGGGACACAGGCCTGCTCCGGGACGGCCTGGGCAGCGATGCTGCCTACTCAGCGCTTGCGTGCCACCCGTGCGGACACCTGAAGCAGTGTCCTGGCCAGGAGGCACGTGACGAGGCCCATGTTTTGACCAGGCCCCTGCTGTGGCCGCCGTTGTGGACGGAGAGGGATCCTCATCCTCCACCCCCCCCCCCCGGGAGGGCCCCAGGCCCCTGCCTTCCTCCGGCCTGCGTGGCACCCTCTGGGGTCTAGTCCTCAGCCCACCCCCAGCAAGGCTTAAGCCAGACCCTACATGGTGGCCATATCCTCTACGGGGCCCGCGTGGGTGAGTGCTTCCAAGGTGTGTGCCCTCTTGTTGCGGAGGCCAGCGGGCCTTCCCCATGGCTGCCAAACGCCTCGTCCCGGAGGGCACCTAGGCTGTTAGGCTCCCAAAAGACACAGTGAACCCTGGTTCCTCTGGCTGGGCCCTCTGTTGCTGACGCTGACCCGGGCTCAGCATGTCCCGTGAGAGTGGAGGGCGCCAGACGCTGTGCCGGCAGCAGGCATCCACAGCGATGGGGAGCCTCCTGGGCCCCTTGGTTTGTGAGCGAGCCATGGGCCACTTCCTGGGCCACAGGCTGGGCGGCGTCCTGGCCCTGTCTCGGCCACCTGGGGCGTGCTCTGTCCACCCAGTCACTCAGCTGCCCACGTCTTGCCCAGTCCTGGGACCAGCTGCTGGACTGGATGCGGAGCCCGGAAAGTCAGCCAGTCTCTGGGCGGCCGCGTGAGGCCCGGGAAGCTGCTGGGAGGTGGAGGCTGTGGAGGGAAGGGCGCTTGCCCAGAGGTGCCCGTCTGCCCGGCGGAGCATTGGGAGGCGGCGGGAGGCAGGGCCTCGGCTCAGTCATGGGGGGCGGGGGGGGGACAGGAGCACGTGAAAACTGGTCACCAATTGGTGACGACTGCTGTCAGCTCTGTAAGTCTGGGGGCTCCTGTTAACCTGGGGGTCCCCAGAATAAACATGCCCAGTGAGCTTGGGGACGTTCTGTGCCCCAGGGACACCGTTGCAAGCAGCACCAGAGAGACCAGAGGGACGAGGTCGCGTCCTGCGATCCAGCGGGGCGAGCGCGGCAGATGCCGACCCCCGGCGCACTCAGCCTGGACGTGGACCCAGGCCTCGGTGGACAATGCTGGTTAGTGCCACAAAGGCCGCTTTTAACCTGGCCACTGTGTTTGTCGAGGAGATGGAGTTTTATATAAATAGAGGCTACCTGTATCACTGTTTTTCATTAAACAAAGCTGCTGCCAGGTATCGTTGTGAGCACTTTCCACGAACTTGGTGAACTCTTCTCTCTGGAGGTCCTGATGCCCCCGAGGTTAGTGACTTGCTGCCTCTGCTTGGGTCCCCCCGAGGCAGGGGTTCAAGCACAGCTGTGGGTTTAGGACGCGACCACAGGGCGTGTCTTCAGACGGTGCCGGTCTGGGCACTGCCGCCGAATCCCGTGGAGCTTTGGGAACCCGTGCCCAGCGCCTGCCGTGGGGGTGTCCACAAAGCCAGGGAGTCGGGGTGCTGGTCCACCGACTCCCCCCGTCGTTGGCGGAGAGCTGCTTCCAGGGCCCGGGCACAGCGGCTGCACTGTGCCAAGGTCACTCAGCCAGGTGGTGGCAGGTGCCCAGCCGAACCCCAGCGGTGCCCCTGCCCAGGCCGCTCTGGACGTGCGTCCAGGGAGATGCAGGGCGGGGCGGGGCCTCCCCGGTGTCTGCCCGACTGGACTGCCTCACACACCAACGAGGGCTCGGCTGCTGGGGGCTCCTCCCTGCTCTGGCGATGGACGTTCCCCACAGCCTGGTGCCAAGTGTCGCCCCTGCTGAGCCCAGCGCTGTCCCTTCCACTTCCCGAGTCACCCTGGTGCCCACGCATGGCTCACAGGCAGGGAGCGTAGCTCCAGAGCGGGAGGCGGGGGCTTGCACAGGTCTGCAGTGACTGGCGGAGCCTGAGCTAACCCTTTGGGACTTTTGCCTGCAAGAGCTTTTATACTAAAATGCAATCACTTAAAATAAAATTGCTTAATGCCAAGCAACACGGTAAGCACCGTGCACTTGCTATGTCTGCTCCAGCGGGCGGGGGCGGACAAGGTGGCGGCCCCGGGGGGTCGGGGGTCAGCTCAAGCCCCGCAGATGGCGAGTCCTGGCACCGGGACTTGCACCCAGGCCTGCGCGCGGGGCTCCCCGCCCCCGAGGAAGGCGTCGCGGGTGCGGCGTGGCTCCACTCACTCTCGGAGCTCCGTCTCAGAGCATCACGTTTAAAAACGAAGCATCAGAGAAAATACAGCAGTGGGTGGAGCGGGCAGGTGTTTGGGTTGGAAATCCAACAGGGTCGAGGCCAAAACCACTGTTCTTTCCTCCGGATCTCAGGAGAAACAGCCCTGAATTGTCAGCCGAGCCTCCTCGTACTGAATGGGCTGGACTAGAGCCAGGGTCCCCCACACCGGGCCCCACAGCAGGAGGTGAGCTGGATGTGATGCGTTTGAGTCATCCTGAAACCACCCCCACCTACCCCACCCCTCCCTCATCCGTGGAAAAATTGTCTTCCAGGAAACCCGTCCCTGGTGCCAAAAAGGTTGCGGACTGTTCTCGAGAATTAGAGAGACGTGCCTCCCACCTGTCTCCTACCCAGAGGTCCGAGGGGCATAGACAGGAAACTGACAAGAGGAAACCAAGCACCGGGGCTGAGACCCAGGGAGCTCACGGGAGGCCTTGCAGGAGGCGCGTGCAGGGCTCAGTGACCGGAAGGAGACCGGGGCGCTGCGGAGAGCGTTCTGGGCCCAGGGCGGCACCAGTCAAAGGCCCTGAGCTCAGGGAGCCAGCCAGCTCCCCGCACAAAGATCCGAGGCAGCCAGGGACGGGTGGGGACGGGGTCGAGGGATGGGGCGGAAGGGAGGAGTTTGTATGACGTGTATGTGGCTTCAGTGCTCATTAGCCCTGCCCACTGAGGAACGTGGGCCAACGGATACCTGTCCCTCTTTGAGCTGCCCAGCCCCAAACATCTGCGCCCATACGCAGGGGCCCACGAGAGCGAGTGGAGCCCCTGGAGTCTCCTCTGGGGGGACAAGGCCAACGTGCTCCTGACACCGGCGGTGAGCGGTTGGGACCTCAGGGGCGAACCGCCAGGAGCGCCATGGTCAGCGCCGGGGAGCAGCCTGCCGCCGGCCTTCCCTGCCCTTTCTTTGACAGAAGATCTAAAAATCCCCTTAGGGTCTGGTTCTTGGCCTGCCAGCCACTAGTCTCCAAATTGGGCTCAGGATCCCCCGGGCCTTGCGGGTGCGAAGCCCCAGCCCACCTCTCTGCTCCGTGCCCTCCGCGTCCTGCCTGGGCCTTGGTGTTCTCTCCGTCAGACGGGAAGGGTGACAGAGTCTCCCTCGCGGTGGGG